TAATGCCTTTGAGTTATGGCGATGGTGAAGAATATTAAGGGACTGCCAGAAGAAAAACAAATCTATCCTACAAGGAATAATATTTAGAAGTAAGAATGGTGAGACATATGTTGGACATGTTATCAAGAAGGACCCAGTCCCTGGGGAAGGACATCGTGTTTCTAACATCAATGGGTCAGTGAAAGAAAGGAAGACCCTCGACAGGACGGACCGACACAGTGGCTCCAGCAATGGACTCGGACCCAGCAGAGATTGTGAGGCTGAGACAAGATTGAGTCACATTACCTTCTGATGGAGTCCCTAGGAGTCAGACCAACTCAAGTGGTCCTAACAGCAGCACTTTATAGGAAGGGCCTGCAGTAGACAAATGCATAGAGACAGCAAGCAGATGAACAGTTACCAAGGGCGGGAAAGAGGCTGAGATGAGGAGTCATTGCCTACTGGGTACTAAATTTCTGTTGAGGTGATGAAAAGCTTTTGGGAGTAAATACCAGTGATACCAGCACAACATGGCCAAATGTAATTCATGTCACTGAACTATATGCTTTAAAATGGTATGTTTAAAAATTGTTAGAATTAGATGTTATGCTATATATATTTTACTACAATAAAATAGAAATTTTGGGAAACACACACACACCCCACCACCACCACAGGGTAGCTGGCATCTTGACCTCAAGGCCACCCCACAGGACTGTGGTGGCATGTTCAGCTGCTTCAATTCAGGCTGTTCTAGGGGTTGGTGCTCAAGCTCACCCCTAGAGGTCCAGAATGACAAAAGGAAAGGGTCCTTTGGGGGCACCCAGCTGGCTCTGTGCCCAGTGATGGAACCCCATGTCCCCTACATGGAGCCTGCGTTGCACTCTGGGGTGGCCTGCTCTCTTCCTCAGCTCTGGAGCCAGCTGAATAGATTCTCTCCTGTGTGCTGGCCACCAAGAGTCCACACATAGCCAAGGCTCATAGAATCCCCAGCTGAAGCTTCCATGGGGCTTTCTCTCTGCTTTTCCTCTACATCTGATGTCAGACTGTCCTCCCTGGGAAGCAAGTGTGAGACAGAGAAGGTGCCTGAGTGTGGGTTTACACTGTGACCCTGCTCCTACCCACTTGAGCCCATGCAGCTTTAACATCTCCAGGCCTGGATTTCCTGTTCTGTCCGGAGGACATAGCGGATCTTCCCGGTGGGCTATCTGGGTAAAGCAGAGACTACTACACAGAGGGCACTCAGTAAGAGCAAGAAGAAGAAAGCACTAGGATAATCACTTCTTGTTTTAGGTCCTGAGTGTCTGGTTGTTTCCAAATCCTCTGATTAGGAAATGCCTGGGCACTATGTGTGTGATGGTACCGACTTTAATATGATTATGAGCTATGATTTACCAACATCCAGGCTTGGCATCTATAATTCAGTGCTGGGCTTGGGGGGCTTCTCTGGAGCCCTGGGCAGGTGGCAGGAGAGGTGATTCTTGTCCCTTCCTTGCTTTGTTACATGTTCCTTCCCATCTCTTAGTGAACTCAGAATCCTTTTGTCCTCTGGTGTTACGTATACAGGGAATTTCTGCACATACAGGAGTGTATTTCTAAGGAAAGTCTGCTTAAAGGACAGTTGTTTTGTGTGCATTCTGTTGGAAAGGCTGAAATAAAAGAGAATCCCGGATTCCAGATCCCTGCTGGACTGTCTAGGACAGAGGGAACAGATAGGGCACCAGAGATAGTCCAGGAAACTTGGGAGGATTTGTATAAAACTCGACTAGTAGAAGGACTAAGAATAGGGAGCAATGGAATGTGCCCTAGAGGTGTGGGAGCGAAGATCTGGAGCTGTTTCCACTCAGCTCAGTGCCCTCATTGAGCTCGACGCTGAGTTGAGTCCTGAATCTGACATAACCCCTGCCCTGAAAGAGCAGCAGGTCAGCGGTGGGACAGGTCAGAAAACAAGCCATGTTGGACTTCAGTCATTAGAGCAGTTGTCATCAGACTATGGTGGATGGGCCATATCTGGCCTGTTGTCTATTTTAGAAATAGTTTTATTAGAATACAGCCATGCTGATCCACTTATTACTATTGGTGGCTCTTTCCATTCTACAGACTTTTGAGTCGTTGAGACAAACCGTATGGTCTGCAGAGCTTGAAATCTTTACTATCTGGCCCTTTAAAGAGCAAGTTTGTCAAACCCTGACCTGAAGGGGAAGTCCAGAGGATTGTAGGAGCTCAGAGAAGGTCCCAGACCTCAACTGGAGGAGATCAGGGAAGGCTTCTCAGAGGAGGTGTTATCAAAGCCCAGTGTATAAATGGGAAGAGCTGGAGTTGAAGGGGAAGGGGCTATCAGACAAACAGTGGACTGAGCAAGATGTGGTGGAGCATGCAAGGACTTGTCAGCAGCTGAATTGGGCTAGATTGGGAAATTGAGTACACACAGCAAAATATAACACAGCAAGGACTTGCATCCTGGCCTCTTGACTCATGCTTTCTTTCAGCTCTGTACAAGGCTACAGGTCCTCAGCCCAAACTTGGGCAGCTGTATAAATTGAGTGCAGCTTTGATGCAATGAGCTTGACAAATGGAAGGCCAGGATGGCTGTGGGGGATGTGGGGCGTCGAAGGTGGGGCCTTGTTACTTACTGCCAGGCTTCTGGGAGCTGGAAATAACCAGGCAGGCAGTGGCAACTCACCCATTGAAGACTATCGGCATCCTCCTCCTGCCCTGGAGAGCTTCATGTGGCCAGTGCATGTACTGATGGTGGAAAGGAGCTGGGCACTAGCACAGCCAAAAAAGAGTAAGATTATTGCTTATTGCTATCTACTTGATTCCGACTTCTGGTGTACCTATTTTAGGACTGAACTGCTCCATTGGGTTTTCTTTTATAGATATATATCCCACCCCCCTTATTGCTGCTGTTGTGAGATTACACCACAGAACACACGCCAATTCAGGTCTTTCTTCATATACGATTATGTGACACTGATTGCATTCTTCGAGTTCTGCAACCACTTTTAGCTTTCTTTCCTGAGTTGTTCCTCTCCTCCTCTAGTAACAAAACCTCATTGTCCATTAAGTTTCCTACCTGGTTTTCAGTTACTGTTGCCAATTTGATCCCATATGAAACCAAACCCATTGCCATAAAATCCAATTCTAACTCTTAACAACCTTACAGGACAGACTAGACATGTCCCATAGGGTTTCCAAGGCCAAAATCTTTAGTGAAGCAGAATACCACATCTTTGCTATGGATAATCTGAGGGATTCAAACTACTGACCTTTGGGTTAGCAGCTGAATGTTTAGCCACTGTGTGCCAGCCGGGCTGGATGTCTTAGAACTAGATCTACAAGGGCACAAGGCTCAGGGCACACAATCTTTATTAGTTAGACTCTAGTAAACTGTTGTTCAGTTTTGGAAGATTTCAGGGAATATTTTTTGTGTAAGGTTTAAGGATTTCAGAGCAGTAGTTGCAAGAGTTCATTTAATTGCTCTGGCTCCAGAATATCTTAACTTGGTTAGAATTTGAAATTCTGTTCTATATTTCTCCTCTTTTGATTAGGATTCTGCTATGAAATTTTGATCACAGGACTTTTTTTTTTGTCTGTAATTTTAAAAGAGGAAGCTGTTTCCTCACATTTTGATTGGAACCTTGGAAATCTGAGGACTGCTTATCAACTCGATAGCATTGGTTTTCTGAGAGTTTTACAGATGCAAATCACTAGGCCTTTCTTCTGAGGGAGATTCAAACTCTTCACCTAAAGGTTAGTAGTTGAGTGTAACTTGTGCCACCCAGGACCTCATCAAGACCGAACCACATTAGTTACTAACTAAATCTTTCTAACTCTTAGGGCCTTTAAAAAGTCTGCATAGAACTACCCTAAAGGTTACTAAGACTGTAATCTTTACAATCAAAACTGTGATCTTTCCAGTCAAAATGTGCATTAAAGAATGAATGGAAACACAAATTTCTATAAACTTTATTTAAAATCACAATTTAAAAAACAAAAGATTCTCAAGAAAAAAAACCAACCTAAAGAACTTGTTAACATCTCTGTCCTATGAATTGAATTAACAGGTGGTTTCAAAATGCCCACCTTGCTTTCAGCCAAGTGCTTAATCTCTGTGCCACCAGGGCTTCTCTAGGGAACCCCAAAGAGCAATAATAATGGCCCCTTAGGATATGGTCACACCTCTTGTCCCCACCTGGGTGAACTCAAGCTCTTGGAGGACATGGCCCATGGGCAGAACAGGGCTAGATGGGTCCCAGTGTTCTGGCCCAAGCTCTACTACCAATGGTGGACACAGAAAACCCCTTTTCCTTCACCCCACCCCAGAAACAGCCATAATGCCACTGACTGAGTACACATTCTGTGCCTGGATTTCTGCTGGATCTTCTCCCTGGGTATGTTGGGGCTGCCCATTAAACTTCCTCAGAGTTCCTTCTCCCACAAGTCAGAGCGTGACACCCCAAGGCCAGGCAGCTGAGCTCGATTTAAACCCCAGTCTAGAGGTGCCCCCAGCAGACAGGGACTAATATTCCAGTTTATGGAAGAACTTCAGGGCCTTGCCTGGTGGGTGCTCTTTCTACCACTCAAAATGCAGAAAATATCTCAGTTATCTTGGCACAAGGTAATCATTTACTTTCAGGATTCATTATGGAGGGCTCCCTGGTGTGTGCGGAAGGGGCCTGGATGTCCAGTCAGGTTGGGGAGTGGGAGAGGCCACATCGGGACTGAGACCTGGCTGAAGGGGCTGATGGTGTAAGAGGTTTCTTGGAGGTGGAGAAAATGGAACTAGCCTTTTCAGGGAGAGGCTGGTTTGAGGAAGGAGTGGGCATTCCCTTGGCAGGTAGATCCTACCACTTCCTGGATTTAAGCACCTGGACAGCCAAGCCAAGTGTCTGCTCAGTGAGTACTTGCCCTCAATCCTTGAGGGACTGTGTACCCCTTGGCCTAGTGACCAGGCACACCTGACTGAGAAAAGCCTCCTGTGCCCACCTGTCCCTCACACTCTTCTCCTCACCCTGCAGCTAAGAAGACCTGTGCGGACAGCGACTTCACCTGTGACAATGGCCACTGCATCGCTGAGAGGTGGAAGTGTGACGGCGAGGAGGAGTGTCCCGACGGCTCCGACGAGTCCGAGGCCACTTGCAGTGAGTCTTGTCCCTCAGGCTGGGGAGGGGACGTGGCTCTGGGCCTCAGTTTCCTCCTCAGACCTTCCTTATTAGGTGGTATTGGGCTCAGGTGAGGGGATTAGAAAGCACAGCCCCAGACTGTGATTTGTCTACGAAAGCACAGCCCCAGACTGTGATTTGTCTACTCCTGAGAGGAGGGGGGATCCTTATAAATAGTCAGGTGTGTCCCCCTGGTTCTGGGCTTCCATCGCAAGCATTCTGCCCTGTGCTCCGAGCACCAGGAACAGAAACAGCCTCACAGAATGCTCCTGCCAGCAGTAACCAGTGTTATTTTGTTTTCAATTGAAAATGTTTCCTATTATGTACAAAGAGTTAGCATTGTTTCTTTGGCTTGGTTGCTGTTTGCTTCCTCTGTTTGAGAGAGCTCACTGGTCCACTTTGATGAAGCACTGGGGAGTCACTGGCTGTGTTTCTGCGTCATTCCCTGTGGTTTGAGCGAAATGGGGAGCCTGGCTGGATTTTTGCAGGTGGCTCCAGTAGAGCTGCTGGCAACCTGTCTTGCTTTGAGAAGTGCACCAGGGCAAAAGGCCCTGCTATTTCTCTTGAGGGCTCTACTCGTAATTCTAATGGTGATAAAGGCAGCTGCACTAGCTCTTTGTATGCACCCACTCATTTAACCCGGACAGCGGTCTCAGACTGCAGGTCCTCACTTCCTGTATTTTGCAGAGGGCATTGAGGCTGTGTTGAATGACTTGCTCACAGCCCCCAAGCCAGGGCTTGGGGGACCAGCCTGAACCAGAGCAGAGCAGGCGTCCAGGCCACTGCTGGCTGGTGGAGGCAGCTGCAGCCCTGGGCCCGCCCCCCACACCATGGGCTTTGTCTCTAGGTGATTTCTCTTCCAGGCCATAATCCTCAAAGCAAACTTACATCCGGCAGGTCATTCCATGACATTTGTTAAATTAAAAAGAATATGAGGAGGGGTTGGGGAGTACAGAGCAGTCCCTGAGGCCAAGCTTCTGCATCAGAGCCAGAGACAAAAGCCTGGGGGCTGGAGCACGTGGAGGATGGAGGTGCTGGCAGAGACCCCAGGAACCCCTCTTTAGGGGTCACAGATGCCCCCGAGGCAGAGGCGGGAACAATGGAGGCCAGAGTCCCATCTACGGCTGCGGCTGATGATAACTGGGTTTCCCTGTCGCCTAGCAACGGAGCCACCAGTCTCAGTGTGAGACAGAGAAAAAGGGAAGAGGAGCGACCCTGCCTGAGACAAAGGGCCGAGTTTCCTTGTACAGCTGCCCTTGTCCCCCTGCTCGTGCCCCATCTGGGCCCTTTCCTCCCCCAGTAGCCAAGTCCCATGCTGTCTTGTCCAGCCCCTTAGCTTCCCTCCACTTGAAATGAAGCCATGCCATGCCCACACTGACTTCCATCCTCACTGCAGAGCAAGGAGATGGATCCTGGTGTAGAGAGAGACGGACTGAGGTGGGGACCCATTCAGCTACTTGCCCGTCTGTCAAGGGGAGAGCTAGGGCTTGGGTCAGACCCAGAAGAGGAATGTATGTTTGGGAAGGCAACATGTGGCCTCTGGAGGCTTTTCTGCCATTATAGTCAACCAGCCGAACAGCCTTGTGCCAGCAGCTACCTGGGCCAGGAGCAGAGGGGGTGAGGGGCCACATGCAGTTATTATTGGGGGCTGAAGACTGCCCCGTGGTTAGCTCTCTTTGTTTTTCTGCGGTCCATTTACGACACTCCACCGCCCCTGCCCTATCTTGAGCTGCCCTCACTCCACCTTACACCGACTCCTCTCTCTTCTCCACACTCACCATCTCTCTCCTCCCTCGACCCATGCTTCTCTGAGCGTGCAGGGGCCCTCCTGCCTCACCCTTCCTTCCACCCAGCTGTAAAGCTTCTGTGACAGCTGAGGGATTGGAGGGGCTTGCTTCCAAGACACACAGCTTGCTGAAGGCAGGTCTCCTTAACAAAAGATAGCCTCCACCTCTCTCGGGCTTCATGGGGTACCCTAAGGGTTCAGGAGTGAAGACAGCACCCCAGGAATTGGGGGATGTTCCCCTCAGGGCTTCCCTATGCAGTCATTTCTTCATCCTTCTTGCCCCCTCTGGGACCTGCGTGGAATTCTAACATTCCAGAAGCCCAAAGATGTTATGATTTTAAAGTTCCTGGGCTCAGAACGTTTGTTACTGTTTCAAGACCCTCTGTAGCCTGTCCTATGCCCAGCTGGAGCACAAGGCCCAGGATCCTACTTCCCGTGCAGTTTCATTGCTTGGAGGTGTGCAGGGCCTCCTGGTGGGGAGGGATGCCTGGAGAAGACCAGCCAGGGAGACCTCCAGGGTCAGGAAGAATTTGGGGCAGCAGGACCTGGTAGCAGGCTTGCTCACAGCTCCCTGAATGAATGGGAACCCAGCAACCAACACGCTGCCCATTTAATTGGCGTTACTATAGCAACCTCCATAGACTACCAGGTTTCTGGGGCCTGTGCCAGCTCCCAGAATAAAGCCCCTCTCCGATGCTCCTATAAAACACTGTAGGCAATAAAGCCTAGTGAGTTTGGTGTATGATGTACTTGGGTTCGGGTCCTCTAACCTGTGAGGCCTCAAGCAACTTTTCCCGTCTCCCCAAGCCTCAGTTCATTCATCTGTTAAATGGGGTGATAGTGGCCACCTTGTCTGGGGTCGTGAGGCTCAAATGCAGGCAAGGTGCCTATTCTGGAATAAATGACCATGCTATTTTTATTATTACATTTTTACCTCAGGGCCTTCCTCAACCACCCCCACCCACCCCACCCCCCCCGCTGCCAATTAAAGATTGTGGAGGTGTCTGAGAGGGGGCCAGTTTGCATCCAGAGAAAAGAGTTTTGCAGCAGGTCTCCCTTCCCCATTCTGTGTTCTCGCTGTTTTCTGCCCCTGGCTGGCTGAGGTTTCTCTCCACATTGCTTCTCTGGGGTACTGTGTCTGTCAAATATAGCCAGGAGTTACAACAGGAGAGCCCAGAACATTTGCCTAATGAAAGTAGCATCTCAGCTCTAATTATAGCTCACTTGATTGGGACGACTCCTGACCCACCTTAGCTGTCTGTCAGGAGGAGGTGGAGTGGGAGGATAGTTCAAGGTGAATGAGTTACTGTTCATTGAAAACGAGGTTTTATTCATGCATCTTAGAACCTTCTCACCTGGGAGTGGAGAAGGGCCTTTATTAATCCGGGGGCATGGGGTTGGTTTTTGACTTGTAGTGAGTCACCTATGTGATAGAAAACTAGGTTGTAATCCTTATAGTGCAGATCACCAGGTCTTTTCTCCTACAGAGGCACTGGGTGGGATTTGAACTGTTGTCCTTCATCTGACAGCCAAGTGCTTAACCGCTGCACTACCAGGACACCTTCCTTTTCCTATTCCTTCTCTTACGTCAATTCTGACTCGTAGGACAGAGTAGAACTGTCTCTTTGGGTTTCCGTGGCTGTGAGTCTTACTGGGAGCAGAATCCCCATCTCTTTCTCTTCCTTAGAGCAGCTGATAGATTGACCTGCTGACGTTTGTTTAGAGCCTAATGCGTTTCACACTGCACTACCAGGGCTCCCCCCTCAGCCATTCAGACTTCGAAGCTCACACTCACTGCCATCAAGTCCGTTCCCCCCATCAGACTTCTGAGGCTGGAAATAGCAGCAGGAGGAGACTACCCGTCTCTCTCCTGAGGAGTCATTGATGGATTCAAACTGCCAGATGCACACCCTCATATGAACTACAGCCCCAGAGCTCCCTCCCAGCAACTGGGAAACAGAAGTCCCAAGAGGACCTTAATTTGATGTGAACGAGCTTCCAGATGTCACTAACTGCCCCCTTCTGTGTCAGGATGTCCCAGGACTGTGCTCCCTGGGGTCAGGGTTCCACCGAGTGACCCTCGGAGATCCCATTCTGAGGCGCCGGTCCCCTTGGAAACAGATGGTTTGGAGGTGATCTGCCTCTGAGCCTTTTGTGAGCTGACACTGTAGAAGCTCTTGCTCAATGAACAGTCGCCTCACACGTTCATTCTTTTTTTTTTTTTAAACAGGAATTTTCCTTTTTTATTAATTCGTGAACTTATGAATTGGAGGAAGTACCAGTGGATTTGGCTTTCTGGGGCACGATTCTCCAGGAATGTATGAATGCCTCGAGGCAGGCAAGGATGGAACTTCAGTTTCACCTGCCAGCTTTGGGGATTCCATTGCTTGAGAGGCAGTGGGGTTCTCCTCTGCAACCTCTCAGGGCCTGGGGACATTTGGGCAGTAGGCCAAAGGCACCCTCAGGGCATCTGTGACAGAAAGAGAGGCTGCTCCACGGGGGTGGCTGTGTCAGGTCACCATGTGCACTCTGGTGTCGAGCACCTGCAGGGGCGCAGCCCAGCCAGCCTCCACATTCAGGAAACAGGACAAGGGAGGGCCACTGTTTTCTGAGCTGTGAGTTTGCTCCTAGCTCTGGGCAGGGATTTTCTGATGTCTCTTGGTTAAAACTCTCCACCAGCCTCAGGAGATGAGATAACCCTCTTTTCAAGCAAGAGAAAGCAAAACATAGACAGGGTCAGTGACCTGATATCTGGACACTCGTCAGTCTGACTCAAACGTAAGCTTCCTCCTTCATCAGGCGGCAGGGGCGCTATGGCTTCAGCATGCAGTTGACATCAGGTGAGCCCTCCCCAGAGGCCCCTCTCCCACCCAGAAATGTCAGTGGAGCCAGCGGGGTCTGCCTGCTTCACATACAGAGATGAGCAGTGAGTCCTGGGTTGGCAGTTCACGACCGCCCTGACCCACACACCTTCAGATGGGCCCCTTTTCCTCCTCTGGGCTTCTCTCCACACTGTAAAGCTGAGGGGGATGGTGATACCCACCTCACAGGGGACCCTGCTCGATAACACTTCCCCAGCTTGAGAGAGGCACTGCCCAGCATCCCCAAGAGCCACTTCCAGGCCTGGTTCTGGGAAAGAACTGTATCAAGACAGTGAGGTTCCAGGAGACAGGCATTGGGGACAGCCCACATCTGGTAGCCCTGTGACCTTAGGTAGGTCCTTCTGTCGGGCTCCTACTCCCCTTGTCACAGCAGCGGGATGGGACGGATGGTGCATTGGATCTTTGAGAATGGAGGTGGGGCTGGTGTCAGGCACTGCTGGGTCCTCAAGAGCTTATAATTAGAGCTGTCTATTTAGGGACACAGCAAATGTCTTATTAATTATAAAGGAAGCAGACGGATTGTTTAATCATTGTCCTTGCTGAAAGGTTATGCAATTAACTGTATAAATATTCATTAAAAGTTCAGGCGCCTGCCTGCTATGCTGGGGTCTGCAGAAAGCGGGCCCCTGAGGTGGTGTGGATGACCGAGGCCACTTCAGTCACCTGGGCTTTGGGGTGGAATATTCTGGGCTGGTTCGGCCCCTTCTCTCCCTTCAGGAGCATGTGGAGCTTGGTGGAAAGAGTAGGGAACCCAGAGTCTGACTTTTGCCTACTGGCCTGATCCTCAGTTTCCCTACCTTATCTTTTGACCCCCTCTGCTCCACTCAAGCAGGATCTGCTCCCCAGGTACAGGGTGGCGTGGGCAACTGGCCGGGCAGGTGTGGATACTCCGTGGATACCTGTTTCCTGTCTCAGGAAATCCTGTTCCTGGATCAGGAGTCCATGAACGTCCCTCCATCTCAGTGCTCTCTCAGGGGCTTGCAAATGTGTAGGACACACATACAGTTTTTATGGAAGGAAGCAAACTTAAGAGAGTCAAGAGAAGGAAAGCCTTGTACCTTGTGGGCTTGTAGAATGCTCACCAAGCATTGCCAATGATGGTGTGTGGGTGTACCTGGGTGAGGTGGAGGGGAGCTGGGTCGGGCGGTGACTATAATGCAGATTCCTAGGCTTTGCACTCAAAGTTTAGATTCCATCCTTAAGGACTGGGGCCCAGAAACCTGCACTTCTCAGAGTTCTCTCACCCCGTGGTTAGAGGGCACTCCAGGAACACTAGGCCATTTCCCTGGTGCTCTGGAGGAGCCGGGAGGAAAGTGCCAGCCTAAGGGCATGCTGGGTGCTGGTGGAAGGGCTCAGTGAGCTCCAGTTTCCTACCTGCAGCCCCTCCACCACTGCACACAGGCTCGAGGGGACTCTTTGAAAGCTCGTGTCAGCACTTTCCAGGGCTCTCTCTGCCCAGCAGCTATGTGCGGTGTGAACAGCCTGCAGAATGAAGCCCGTGCGTCCTGTCTTCACAGTGATCGCTTTGTGCTTCATGATGTATTTTCCTCCAGGAACTTTGGGGTCCACTCTCGGGGAGTCCAAGGTACTTCTCTTCCCTGGAGAAGAGCCGCTTCCCAGAGCCTGAACTCAGACACTGGACCCTCTCCAGCTTGTCTGTGCCCCATTCTCCGCCCTCGTGTCCACTCAGCCCAGATATGGCAAGTAAGAGAGCAAAGCTGAGGGTGAAGTGGGATGGCCTCCAGCCCTGGGGTGAGATGGACAGTGCCTGGGCCTGGCATCAGACAGAGCTGGCTTCAAATCCCCACCCTGTCCTCCACCAGCTGCGTGACTGGAACCCAATGCTCCTCACCAGGCCTGGTGCCCAGCGGTGCTCAGAAAAACCAGCCTTGGAGCCGTCCTCTGGCATGCATGGTCAACCATGAAGGGTCGCAGTCACAGACACTCGGCCAGTGTTTTATCAAGTCCTTTATGTGCATTAATTTAGTCTTCACAACAATCCTATGACGCAGGTCAGTGTGTTGCCCTGCTTTGTTGGCAAAGGATCTGAGGTACAGAGATAACGTGAGGCCAAGTTTGCAGCAAGTGTTGGCACTCAGACTTGAACCTGGGCAGCCTCGTTGCGGAAGTCCCAGCACATTCTTACCCTGATTCCCACACATACTTTCTGGCTTCTGGTGGATTCTGGCTCGTAGGGACCCTCCATCAGGTTTCCAAAGCTGCAAATCTTAACAGGAGGAGACTGCCCATCTTCTCCCAAGAAGCTATTGGTGGATTCAAATGGCCCAAAATGTGTGGAGCCTCTTGGTTGGCAGCACAACATCCTTTGTCACCAGAGAGAGGTCCTGGTCCTGACTGGGACAGGCTAAACAGAAGTGTCCGGCACTGATGTTGGCCTCCTGCACGGCCTGGAAGGCAGGGAGGAGCCAGCTGAGGGGTATGGCATGTTCCTGCCTCACAGGTCTCCGTCCAAGAGCTCAGGACCCGAGCCACCATCCTCAACCCTCCTCTAGTTTCTCATTCTGCCTTCTAAATTGAGAATCGAGCCTGGGGCTCCAGGCCCCTGATTGAGTCAGCCTCTGATTGCACTGCAGTAATTATAGCTGTGCAGTCCCGCTGGGCCCTGCCGGCAACAGTTCTCTCAACAGCCTCACCAAGGGAGGTGTCCTTGGCGGGGCTGGAGCAGAGGAACACTCGGGTCTTATGAGTCCACCGGTCTCCAGGTTTAGCTCATGGGGTCACTGATGTGGGAGCTGATGAGGCCCAGTTAGGGCGTATCTTGCCCGAGGGCAGCCAGCTGGGAAATGGCAGAGAGCAGGCAGGTCCTGGGAGCTCCACGCTGCCACAGCTCAGAGACTGCGAGGAGGGGCCTGGCCACAAGGGGCTTGAGTGCCAGGCTTCAGGAAGCTGTGTGTCAGGCAGGGCCTTGTGGGATCACATTTAGGATCTGGAGAGTCCCAGAGAAAAGCCCTCTGGTGGTACTGTGCCCGAAGCAGTCTGTTACTAACTGAACTGTGACTGCCACAGTGGGCTCTAGTGTCAGGAAGTGTGTGGGTGACACAGGATAAGTCAGGGTTCAGATCTGTTGTCGTGGGGTTACTGTGGGTCACTTTTGACTTGACAACACCTAACAAAACTAACTGAAGGGTTCGAACCTCCCAGCCACTCTGTAGGAGTAGATGTAGAAGTGGCAGCCTGCTCTTGTAAAGAATTATAGCCTCCGGAACCGAAAGGGACAGTTGTGCTCTGTGACACCAGGGTCACATGAGTCACAGGAAGCCAGGTGATACAGCAGTGAAGTGCTCGGCTGCCCACTGGTTGGCAGTTCGAATCTACTGAAGAAAATCCTGTAAGACAGTCCTGCTTTGCTGGGGGGCCACGAGAAGTTGAAATTGACTTGGCGCCCTAGCAAGTTCTCAAACGAAGAAACAGAGACATGAGCAGAAAGGTCCTGACAGAGGCCCAGGGCCCAAGGCCCCATGGCTGGTGCCAAATAGTAGGACTGGCTGATGCCATGACCGGTGCCCGGCCTGGCTAAGCCACTTGCATGTGTCTGTCTCCACAGCCAAGCAGGTGTGCCCGGCAGAGAAGCTGAGCTGTGGACCCACCAGCCACAAGTGTGTGCCTGCCTCATGGCGATGTGACGGGGAGAAGGACTGTGAGAGCGGAGCAGATGAGGCCGGCTGTGCCACCCGTGAGTCTGGAACTGGGGGTCCAGGCTCTGTCAGTCATGGCAGGCAGCACTGAAGAGCAGTGGCTGCTTTAGGGGGCGGGCAGTTCTCAACAAGGCCTGGGAGGTGGAAAGAAGGATGATGAGCAGGACGCTAGCAATGGCCAGGCACTTTGGGAACATTCTTTTTCATCCTCACAACCACCCCAGCAGTAGCCATTATCATCCCCATTTTATGGGTGTGGAAACTGAGGCTCAGACAAGGGAAGGAAGGTGCCAAAGGTTGAAGGGTGGAAGTGAGATTCAAGCTCAGGTCTAGACAGCACGGCCAGGAGCTTTTTCCCATGTCTGCCATCTGCCCATCCATTCCATGACTCTACCAAGCCTAGCAAGGACAACCAGGCAGGGCTAGAGCCAGAATTGGTGGCTGCTGGAGCCAGGATCCCGGCTGTGTCACCGGGGAGGGGTTCGGGGCGGGGGTAGCAGATTCCTGAAGTCTGAGAGATGACTGTTGCTGAAATCTCAGAACCACACACGGCTGTCACAGGGCGGGAAGATGCTCTCTGCACCCGCAGCAGGGACAGATGGAAGTGGCCACTGGGACAGTTCCGCATCACCGAGCTTCAAACATGGGATTATCTCTCTCCCCGGAAGCCGGGCTGGCAGGGCCAGAGGGAGCATGCCCTGGGCTCACTCATTTCAGTTTTCTGGGCACCTACTGGTTACCAGGCCCAAAGCCAGCTTCTGGGAGGGACAGTGAGGTGGATCCTGCATTGTTTGTTGTGCCCTCAGGAGCTCAGAGTTGACAAGGACACATCCGGCTGTCAGTTCTAGGTGGGGAGGCTAGGCTGAGATACAAGCGGTCACTGAAGTGGGGCTTTCACTAGGCCCTTGCCCACATCCCCTCCCCTCCCTTGGCCTCCTTCCTGTAGATGTGCCCTCTCCAAGAGGCTTCTGAGCCACAACTTCAAAGCTTCTAAGTCTGGGGTTCTGAGGTATCTAAAGGGGGAAGTGTTGGGTCCTGACTGAGCTGTTAGTTCCAAAGCCCATTACGGCACTGGTCTTTCAGCAATGAAAAGACCAGTGCTGGGCCTCAAACAGATGTGTCTTAGAAAGAGTGTCGCCAGAGTGCTCCTTGGAGACAAAGATGATGCTTTGTCTCTCATACTTTGCTAGGAGAGGCTATTCCTTGGAAAGGGATGGTGTGCTTGGAAAGATGGGGAAGAAAATCCCTGAAGAGAGTTGACGGTGACAGCAGCAATGGGCTCAAGAGTGTCAGAAATTATGAGGATGGTGCAGGATAGGGCAGGGTTCAGATCAGTTGTCGACAACTCAATGACACCTAACAATAACAACCCTAGTCAAGGGGAACCTTTCCTGGGTCCTCTTCCCTCCTCACTGCCTCATTACCAGTCCTGTCCCCAGCTACAGGGGCCCAAAATGTCTCTTCACTAGGGTGGGTACACAGTGACAGAGCATTTCTGTTTATTACGGGGTGTAGCTCTGGTGGCCTACTGGTAAGGACCTGCACTGCCATCCTGAAGGGGTGCAGTTCGAGCCCACCAGCTGCTCTGCAGGAGAAAGATGTGCAGTCTCCTCCCATGCAACTGCCTCTGAAACCTGCTGGAGGGTCAGCGATGGGCAGTTTCAAATTGATGGTACACAACGACAACAGAGTCTTACTGGGTTTTACCTGGGCAGAAGAAAAAGAATTCTCCCTTCTCTCGGTTCTTCAGTTTCTTCTGTCTGTGGGTGGTGGAGTGGGTTCTCCAGGAGTAGGCCTGAGTGTCGATCTTAATATATGTCTGCTCCAAAAACTTAGCACAAAGAACTCAGCACAAAGAGGCCTTTCGCAGCAGAGTTCTCTGTGGACAGTGTCCTTCCTGTAACATGCATGAGCAGAGCTGGACAAGAAGGAGGGGGGCGAACTAGGCATCAGCATAATCTCGGGGGACAGGCGTCATGGGGAAGCATGTGTCTTCCCCACCAAGGCCTCAACATCCCCAAAGCCCAGAAGGCAAAAAATTGCAACTGTCAGAAACGTGATAAAATTGTCAAAAAAGCACATGACATGAGCTGCCTACATTGTGAAACTGACGACATCACTGTTTTATGTTCAGTAACAATGAAAATTTGACATTTTTTCTGCCACCAGAAAATAAAATCCCAGGTTCTGTGCGCCCTCATGTGGAGACACATAGTACTACCACCACCACCACATTCCCTGGGGCCTGGTTCTCTGGGCCTATTGGCTTGTTGGGTGAGAGAGAGGAAAGGGATGAGGCGGTCATGACCATGTGAAGAACTTATACTCCAGGAGGGGAGGGGAGAAATAAAAGAAGTAGGAGGAGGAATCAGTAAGTCTGGGAGCATCCCAAGCCTCACTTCTGATTCTGCCCTCACCACAGACTAACTAGAGTCCTGGGCGTCCCTCTCGGAGCCATTCCTCCATCTGTAAACTGACAGGTGGGATGGCTTGGCTCTAAGGTCTTCCCAGAGCAGCCCACCAAGAAAGAAGCCCTAGGCCCCCGCAGCCCCAGGGAGCTTTGCTGCACCTGCCTTAGTTACGCCTCACCCTGGGCGGTGGGCAGCACCCATCCACTCCACATCCATTCCACATACTCACGGTGGGGATCCCTGGATCAGAGCTAAGTGGAACTAAGTGGGTCAGTCTCTGGCCACCCCTCTCATGGGACAGACAGAAAGACAGAAACTCTATCATCTGAGCAGTCTGTGAGGTCGGCCGCAGGAGGACGGTGGCAGAGGCAGCCTCCCAGGCAGGGAAGCACCCAGTATGCAGTGAAGCACGTGGAATTTGGGCTCTTGAAGGGTGAAGGCATTGTGGTGAAATGCAGACAGCCGGGCAAGAGGCGGGTGCCCAGCCGATGGTCAGAACCCTCTCCTCAAGTGTCCTACTCCCCTGCGGGCTGCAGGGCAGGAGGTCCGGGAGGCTCAGAGAGGGCAAGTATGTTGCCCAACACCACCCAGCAGGTCCTGGCAGGACCCGGGTTGGAAGCCCGCCCCCCTCCCCGCGCCGCGGAGCGGTCCTGGCCGCTCGTGCGGCGCCGGGTGAGGGTCAGGGCCCAGCGGCCGCGGGCCTGGCCACGATGCGGGCCGACCGGCTGTCTGTCCCGCGCAGTGTGCGCCCCGCACGAGTTCCAGTGCAGCAACCGGTCGTGCCTGGCCGCCGTGTTCGTGTGCGACGGCGACGACGACTGCGGCGACGGCAGCGACGAGCGCGGCTGTGCCCACCCCGCCTGCGGGCCCCGCGAGTTCCGCTGCGGCGGCGACGGCGGCGCCTGCATCCCCGAGCGCTGGGTCTGCGACCGCCAGCTGGACTGCGAGGACGGCTCGGACGAGGCCGCCGCGCGCTGCGGAAGGGCGGGCCCCGCCACTGCCGCGCCTGCCGCCTGCGCCGCCGCCGCCCAGTTCGCCTGCCGCAGCGGCGAGTGCGTGCACCTGGGCTGGCGCTGCGACGGCGACCGCGACTGCAAGGACAAGTCGGACGAGGCCGACTGCCGTAAGCCCCCAGCCCCTCCGCACCGCCCCGTCCCGTTGCTTCCGAGCCCGGGGACTGCGGATCCCTCTGGAAGGCATTTTCTGTTTTCTGAGGCTGGGGGAAGTCATTTGTGTGTGGTCACGGCACCTCTGCAGTGGAGCTCACGTCTAACTCCCGAGCGTCCTCACTGCTACCTGCGTCTGGGGTGACCAGCTCCCCAGCTTTTCCACCTTCTGCCCTTCCCCTGCCAGAAGACCTACATACTCTCAAGAACCTCGCCCTCCTTTCCCACAAGGTCAGCTCCTCTTTGCAGGCTCTCAGCCCAGCTGGTCAAGGTCCCTCCTATGGGGATTCCCCCTGCCCCAGCATCGCTCCTCTAGCCACCTGTAGCATATGGCTGGGTTCATGCCTAGGTCCTTCACGCCCTGAGGTCCTTGAGCAGGAGGGAGGAGCATGGCAGGGTCTGGGTTCCTGATCCCTGGAAGTACCTGGGACACCCAGGAGAGGTTTACCAGGTGCATGACCCATTAAGTAATAAGAACACATGCAGATGAGGGCCACGCAGGTGTCTGTCCTGGAGGGTAGCACTGGGGATGAGCAGTGGATAGGAAACAGGAGATCTGCAGTTTTGTTCTGGCTTTGCCAGCCCGAGTGCTGTGTTAACTGGCCTTTCCCCTCTCTGAGCTTCAGTCTCCCAGTTTGTGTGTTGGAGGTGCCTTGGCCAGGTGCCCCTGGAGGACCCCAAACTTGGCCACTTGGGTTCTGTTCTTGTCAGGGGTGGGCATGACCCTGGAGGGAGAAAGCTGCCCCAGCACCACCGTGGCCCTGATCCTCTCCCTCCTGCTCTCCGCCAGCGCTGGGGACCTGCCGTGGGGATGAGTTCCAGTGTAAGGACGGATCCTGTGTGCCTGCCATCAAGCGCTGCAACCAGGAGCTGGACTGTGCAGATGGGAGCGATGAGGCTGGCTGCCTGCAGGGTGCGTGGGGCAGGCGGGGCGTCCCAGGGGAAGTGGGGCTCTTCCAGGAGAGCAGAGGGTGAGCGATCTCCCTTTGTTCCCTGAGAGGCATCTTCCCCCCGAGCATCACTTGCCCATAAATGGCCCAAATCCCCTCCCGTGGAGTTGTTGTGTCACCAGAGTTAGATTGCTCAGGGCACTGTCAAAGCTGAAAGTGTCCGGGAGGATGTGAAAGGCACTGCAGGAAGTCCAGGGCCACCATTCACCGTGTCCTGGCTTCAGCAGGGTTCCCCTCACTAGCACCCAGATCCAGCCAAGGCTGTCTTGCTCCCCTGGACTTAATTCTCGCATGGCTCATCAGACTGCCCCCCACTGGTAGGAGCCAGGATCCTGATGCACTGGCTGTCTTGGAGGATGTACAAGGAGTGGGCAGTAAAGCACCCTTCCCTGTCCAGGACCCAGAGGCAAAGGTCTTCCCCTCAGGAGCCCCCAGGCTCTCTACAGATGTTGCTCTGCTCTTCCCAGAGCCCCATCAGACCCAGACCCCCATAGTTCTGCCCGCTGAGTGATACTTGGGGAAGCCCCGGCATTCTATACTGTGAACAGAGCACCCAGAATCCTGCAGGTGGGCTGTCTGCCCTAGAGAGCCCCCAGGGAGCTGGACTCAGCAGCTACACTTCGCCCAGCCTGAGGCCTCACAGGCGCTGTCCATTGTCTTGTCCGGCCTGACAGAGTCCACATGTGAGGGTCCCCGCAGATTTCAGTGTAAGAGTGGCGAGTGCGTGGACGGCGGGAAAGTGTGTGATGCGCAGAGGGACTGCCGGGACTGGTCGGATGAGCCTCAGAAAGAGTGTGGTACAGTACCTGTCTGCTCTCATGACAAACTAACCCTCCCCGCCACTCCCCTCTTGACATCAGGTCTTGAGAACCTTGCCTGCCTCTCTGCACCCCCTGCTTTCTGCTCTGACCCTTTCCGTCCTGGGGCCTCTCACTCCGCACCCCTACCAGTCTCTACAGGCCTTTCCTTCCAGCCTCATGCTCCAAGATTATGCTTCCTCTCACAAACCTGGTCTCGGCTGCTCCTCGTTCCTTCTGCGTTCCTCTGAGTTATATGCACACTCTGGCACTTTCTCTCTTCCTCGGTGACCCTACCTTGCTGACCTAGCCAGGATCCTCGCCACTGAGGACTCCCAGTCTCTGCAAGAGGCCCTACAAGGGACAGGTGGGGTACATGAATCAAGTGGTCAAGAGAGGTACGTCCTGGAATCTGCCTTAGGCCAAGACTAGAAGGTAGACCAGTAGTAGGAGGTGGCCATATCCTCAGCTTAGAGCCCTCAGACTGACTGGAAAAACAGACTTACAGGCTGAACATCCGTGAGGAATAGGTAGGTGTCTAGAGCTTTTGGGCTCCAGGCTAGAAATAACTGAGAGTAACATCCATCTCTCCTGAGAGTGAGGCAGGCATCCCAGAGAACATGCTGGAAGTTCATTCTGGGCTCCAGAAAAGATCAAGAGTCTTCCCTCTGCTGGTCCCAAGGATCAGAAGTAGGGGTGGGGGAGATTTGGACAGTCACCCCTGGGGAGCCTCGTTCCCCTCTCTGCTTTCCTGTAGAGCCATTGTTACCCAGCACCTCCCCTCCTGGGTGCTCAGGGAGCCTTGCCCTGTGGCACTCCCCAAAAATCAAGTATTCCTGCCCACTTTTGAAACTGAACAACTAGTTTTGAAAGAAAGAATATTTTAATAAAGGCCACTGAGCTATCCCCAGAGCTTGCAGGAGACACACACACACACACACACACACACACACACACCACCACCCCCCCAGAGGCCCTGCCACGAGATGTCCCAGGAACAGGAATCATCACAAAAGAAGAAAAGGAAAGCAGGAGCAACTGAGTCTGGCCATTCCCCCTCCTCGTCTAGATTTGGAGTTAGCCAGTGACTGTTAACTTGCTCACCTCTTCTCTCTTGGCTTTGCATGACATCAACAGAACGTATGCATGTGTTTGTGTCTGTGCGTGCCCTCTGTCCCTGCATCAGTGAGAGGACAGTCTCTGTCCATGTCCCCCTGAATAGTACAGGGGGCTGCATGCACGTGTGTCTGCGTGTGTCTGATGTCTGAACGTACCCATGGAGTCCGTGGTCTGTCTGCCTCTGCACAGACATTGGTGTGTACATGTAAGTGTGTGTGCATGCAGACGTGTGCACGTGCCCGTGAAACCATGGAGGGCCTCAAATGCTAGCCAGACATCGGGACCCTCCATCCCTGCCTTTCCCCTCAGACTCCACAGTGGGATCAGCCTCAGCCAGGCCTTCTAAGAAAGGGGGTTGGCAGGGCCAGGCTTGTCCAGACCTGCCGTTCAGTGTCCTCCCGCAGCACTACCACCTCAGCCCTGAGGGACTCTGCCTTTCACTAGGAGCTGGAGGACTTTGAACTCTCCCACCTTCCCCTTCCAGAGCCACCTTGTTCATGCCATCTGCGTCCAGTAAATACACCTGTTGCATTCATGCAATCTGCACAAGGAGAGGCAGGAAGGGAATGGACGCATGAATGAGGCAGTGGGTCGGAGACTGAACAAATGAATGAACGATGTTCAGGACAACACAGTCCTGGAGAGTTCAGGGTGAACTGGGAGTGACAGAAAGATTCCTGGAGATGGTGCCCCACAGGGGCCACGCCAGAACTGCCATGGCTCAGTCACCCCAAGAGACTGGGGCTTCCCAGTTCTGGGTCTGGCTGAGTGACCCCCCTGACCACCCAGTCACAGGGTTGCTGTGATCTTGTTCTTTTCAGTTCTGCCAACGTCCCAGGGAAACAGGAGGAGGCCCAGGGGTAAAGGGGGCATTTGCTAAGCATGGCTCCGTCTGGAGGAGGGGTACCCCAGCTGTGCATGACCTGGGTGGGAGCCCAGACCAGCTGTGCGCACTGCCACGCTGGCTTGGCTCGGCTTGGCTGCGGTGGCAGTGCATGTGCCTGACGGGCAGTGGGTGGGTGGCTGCCTCCTCGGCTTGCAGAACTAACCTGCTGTGATTCCGGAGCTCAGGTGACGCTGTGTGAACCTGATGAGTCTTGCTCCTGGCCTCCTGGACCTCTTCTAGGACCCTGCCCAAAGGCAGGGCGGGAGAGAACAGGGACCCGGATACCCTCCTAGAACACCATCTCCTGAAACAGTAATTGGGGCCAGGCCCATGACTAAGTGTAGGCACAAGAACAGGTGCTGAGAGGAGAGATTTGAGTGGAAAGCACATCAAAGTGGGAGAGCACTGACTCAGCAGCTCTTTGCAGAAAAGGCCTGAAAGCGTCAGACAACCATATGCTCGATAGCCAGCCATGTTCACTTGTTGTAAGCGGGTGACTCTCGGCCCTGCCCAGAGAGAAGCCTGAGTGTAGCAAGTGCGTCTGCAGAAAGGAGCCTGAATGACAGGACTAGAAGCGAGTGGTCTGAGGAAAGGCTGAGGGAACCTCTGGTTACTAGCCAACCCCACACAGTGGAGCAGTAACAGAGGCTTCGGGAGGCAGACCCTTTGAGGAAGGACTTGATAACAGGCAGGGCCAAAGTTCCAAGGGGAAGCCAGCTGCCTCAGGAGGCGAGTGGGTGCCACGAGGGTGGAGGGACCTCTCAAAAGAGATCCTGAGAGTGGACATGATACAAGCAGGTCCCTTCAACTCTGAAGTCACAAGGAAGGAGGAGATGCCAAAAACATGTTTGTGAAAGCAAAGACCTGAGGCTTCCTCCCAGGGAGGGCCCAGTGACCTCCAGCCTGGTGTGGGCAAAGCCCCGGCCTGGGAGGCAGGGATCTAAGTTCCGGTTCCGCTCTGTCTGCATCCTATGTCTGCCCTTGAGCACATGCTGGTCCCTCTTCTTGCCCACTCACCTGGTTGATGATGCTGAGAGCCTTCCTATCTCTGGCACTAGGGGGGTCCCACTGCCCGGGTCTGCTTCCTTGCTAGGCCCTGCCCACCCCTGCCTCAGCGCCAGCCTGGGCTCAGGGACCCTCAGGTGCCTGCGTCCCTCTCCAGGGCTAAACGAGTGTCTGCACAACAATGGAGGCTGCTCCCATATCTGCACTGACCTCAAGATTGGCTTTGAGTGCACGTGCCCAGCGGGCTTCCGGCTCCTGGACCCGAAGACCTGTGGTGGTGAGGCCCTCTCCCTGCCCCCCCCCCACAGAGGAAGACGCTCCTGCCGGTTCTCACACCTGCCTCTCTCCACAGATATTGATGAGTGTGAGGACCCAGACGCCTGCAGCCAGATCTGCGTCAATTACAAGGGCTACTTTAAGTGCGAGTGCCACCCTGGCTATGAGATGGACACGCTGACCAAGAACTGCAAAGCTGTCGGTATGGAGTCCCCAGGGTGGACACAGAGGGTGGGTCTGAGGGTACAGCTGCTTCGAGCTTCCATTATATGAAGGACAGGTGTATATGTACACATAGAAAGCTGGCTGCAAACACCGTGCACCGCACACTGACTGCCCACAGCCCCAGAGATTACCCTCACACAACGCACGATGCATAGACAAAATGACCATGGAGATTGCTCACACAGCAGAGACAGCCCATGCAAAAATGTGCACAATGAACCATTCTATTAGTTCAGTTCATTTCTTCAGCTTTTAGAAGGTGTCCTGGTCCTTAGGGTGTTGCACTGCCAACCCAAAGAGGATGCTTCTCTAGCAGTTCAAATCCACCAGCAGCAGGCCCCGCCATGCTATTTACAGCCTCAGAATCCTGCCTGAGGCTTCAGCTCTGAATCAGTTCTGACTGAATTATATTGAAAGCCCAGCATTGTTTCAGGGAGCTCTGATGACCTAGTGGGTAGAGAGTTGTGTTGTCAGCGCAGAGGTGTGTGGCTTGAACCCACCGGCTGCTCTGTGGGAGAAGGATGGACAGTCTTCTCCTATGCTGTTTACAGCCTCTGAAAACCTGCTGGAATGTCAGCAATGAATTGTTGGTACTGAACACTGTTGTAGGCACTGGGGGTTCGGCATAAACAGAGCAGTCACAATTCCCTGCTTCTCCTGGAGGGGCTTATAATCCGGTAGAGGACCAATAAGAAAGAAGGTGTGGGGTTGTTTCTTTTGTTTTTAAGTAAAATATAGAGCATGGCAGATGTGATAAGGACTAAGGGTAATAAAGAGGGTAAGAGTGAGATCCCAGAAGGGCAGCGGATTGCAATTTCAGATAGAATGATCTTACTGAGAAGAAAACATTTAAATCCTGAAGGAAGTGACTGAACCCTGGAGTTATTGACAGGAAGATATAAAAAGTGCAAAAGCCCAATGTCGTGGGCCTGCCTGGTGGGTTCAAGGATCAGTGAGGAAACCTGTGCTCTGGAGCAGAGAACAGGAGATGAAATTAGAGGTGACTCAAGGACTCACACAGCCTCGTGGGCTGTTACATGGGCCGGCTGGGGGTTTCAACCCAAGTCAGGGGAAGCTGTTAATAGGCTCCTCCTGGCTGCTGCGTTGAGAGTAGATGGTAAGGGACCGGGGAGATCCAGGGAGATGACTGAGGAGGTTGCTGCAGTAATCCTGAAGAGGGCTGATGGTGGCTTGGGCCAGAGTGGTTGCTGTGGCATAGTGAGGAGTGGACAGGCTGCGTCTCTTTTGAAGGACAGCCAGTAGGATTGGATTATAACTTGAATGTGGAGTACAGAAGCAAAAGGGAGCCAGGCATGACTCCAAGGTTTTGGCTGAGTGACTAAAAAAAACCATAGGCTTGCTATTTATGGATGTGAGAAAAGTGACGGCGAAGAAATGTCAGACTGTTTGGGATATGTAAAGTTTAAGGAGACTGGTAGACTTCCAGCTGAGATGATGAGTAGGCAGTTGGATGTGTGAGTGTAGAGTTCAGATGCAGAAATACAGTACATAACAGAGATTCTTAAAACACAGCAGCCAGGGACTTGACATGTACCTCGTAACCGCCCCCCAAAGTACCACCCAAGTGTATAATATGTACGACAGACATTGCTGTTGTTGTTAGGTGCTGCTGGGTTGACCGCAACTCATAATGGTCCTGTGAACATCAGATCTGAACCCTGGCCTAGCCTGTGCCAACCGCACAGTCACACACTCAAGCCCATTGCTGCAGTCAGTGTGTCAGTCCACCTGGTTGAGGGTTTTTTCTCTCCTTCACCATCCCTCCACCTTCCTAAGTACCATATCTGCCTCTAAGGAGCACTCTGGCAGCACCTTTCCACATCCTATCTGTTTGATCTTTTGGCAGTCCATGGGATATTTAGCACTCTTCTCTCAAACCACAACTCAGAGGCAGTCAGCTCTTCTTCTGTCATCTTTCTTCATTGTTTAGCTCTCAGATGCTTAACAAGTGACTGAAAAGACCATGGCTTGAATCAAGCACATCTTGACATCATTATTCCTCAGTAATTTGGAGAGGTCCCTGACTATTAGCACATCACATATAGCATGTAACCATGTGAGACATGTGTGACATACAGATTCTACAGGTACAGTGGAGACAGCACAAGGAGCCCTGGCGGCCAGGTGGTTAAAGCACTCATCATGGCTATTTGGTGTTTTTGTTTAGTGCAGTCAAATTGAGTATAACTCATAGCGGCCCTATGAACAACATACATATCTGAACCCTGAGCTAGTCTCTCCAATCTCCATCATCTCTGACACACTTGCACCCATTGCTGCAGTTGCTCTGTCTGTCCATCTCGTTGAGGGTCTTCCTCTCCTTCACTGACCCTCTACCTTTCCAAACATGCTGTTTCTTTCTGCGGAATAACCTGGCCTAGCTACATGTCCAAAGTATGAAAGACAAAGCTACTCCAGCTTTGCCTCCAGGAAGCACTCTGGCTGCACTTTCTCCAAGAAATCTCCGTTTGTTCTTTTCTTTTTTTTAATTTATTTTATTTCATTATTTTTTGTGTGTACTGTCAAATCAGATCTGACTAGTACAGCATCTGGTGGATTTGAAGTGTGCATCTCTGAGATTGCAGTTGCAGCTTCTTGCCACTAGGCCACCAGAGCTCGCCTCCATTTCTTCTCTTGGCAGTCCTCTTCTCAGGTGACAGCCTTGGGAACTCTGTGGGGTGGTCCCACTCTATTCTACAGGTCACTCAGTTAGAATTGACTCACTAGCAGCAGTGGTTGTGCAGATAACACCCGCACAGAGAAACTTGCACACACAAAGGCCTATAGTGCACCTATAGCTCAGATCACACACAGGATGTCCCCATAACAGCTCGCAGTAGAAATCACCTCAGATATCCTCAGCTCAGCTCCTGCCTTCCCGGAGGAAGATGTCATCAGGGACAAGGAAGAGTGCTGTCAGTGGCATCAGAGAGCTGGACAATGACTAGGAAGGATAGAAGGAAAATTGATGCCTTTGGGCTGTGGTGCTCAAGAAGAGTACAGAATATACCGTGGACTACTAGGAGAACAAACAGGTTCATCCTAGAGAGGCTGAGACCAGGCTGCTCCTTGGAGGCAAGGATTCTGAGGATCTATCTGACATACTTTGAGCATATTGCGAGGAGGGGCCAGTCCTTGGAGAGGGACATCTTGCTTGAGAGGTTGGAGAGACAGCACAAGAGAGGAAGACCCTCGATGAGAAGGATTGACTCAGTGACTGGAGTAATGTAGGCAGGTGTGACAGAGAATTAAATTGGCTCATGATAGAGCAGAGTTCAGAGCTGTTGTACGTAATAGGGTCTCTATGAGTTGGAGTTGACAGCACGTAACAATAACATCAGTGGCATAGCTGGATTTGGAGTCCATCGTGTCTTGGTTTCCCTTCCCACATGAGCACTGTTTGTATCATACCCACCCTGCTTTGAAACAGTTTCCATCATCACACACAGGTCACATACCCAACCAGGCACCCCATGGCTCCTTGCTGACCCCAGATGCCCCTGGAGGACACTGGCCTGGTCCAGATCACAGCGATGGGGACCAGAGGGCTGTCAGGCATGTGAGGCAGAAATAAAGAGTGAGAAGGAAGGCACAGACAGCTCGGGGACGGGTGTTGCTAGGAGCTGCCACTCAGATGTTGAGAGTCTGATGCCTCTAAAGACAGGCTAGGAGGACCGGGCTAGACCCTTGTAGGTTGTGGGCAGTGGCCCTCCATTAAGAAGTGGCCAGGAGCGTGTAGGTCATGATGGTGGCCCTTGGAAAAAGGCATAATGATGGAAAGGTGAAGGGTCAGAGAATGAGAGGAAGAGGCCCCAACAACAGAGATTGACACAGTGTCTATAAAAATGGGCTGAGCATGTCAGAAATGGAGAGGCTGCCACAGGGTAGGGCAAAGTCCAGATCTGTTGTTCTAGGGATGCTATGAGTCATGGTCAGCTCGGGGCACCTAACAACAACATGTCAAATCACGTCCCAACCCTGCCACTGGTTCAGCATAAAGTCCATGTCTTCACCCAATTTACTGGGCCCTCCATGGTCTGCCAACCTCTGCAGCTTCACCTCTTGCCATGTCTCCCGTCCCTTCCCCTTTGCACAAACTCAAATCTCAACAACCTCCTTGAGGGTCTCCCTGGCCCTGTAGTCTTCCCTCCATCCTAGTCTCGGTCACCTTTCTAAAGCACATATTTGGCTCAGGTGCCTTTGGATATAACAGTGGGGCCTCAAGCAGAGATGGTGGTTCTTGTTGGAAATGCATTGGAGGCGGATGCGACGGCTTGAGTAATGCCCCTGAGGCGGAAAAGCCTGCCACAGCTCTGTCAGGACAGAGTTAGGAATCAAGGTGTGTGGAGAGATGAGTGATGAGGCCGACAGGGAGCTTGGGGTCACCTGTGGGAAACTTTTAAGTGTGATGGAGTTATAAATTTTGGGGGGGGGTGTTAGTATCTAAAACCAAGATTAGGAATCCTATTCTTAAACCTATTTCAACTTTTCCTACAACCTGTGAGGTCAGAATTATTTTTTCAATTTTCTGGGAAAGAGGCATTCTAGGAAAGGCTTTGCCCACATCCCCCAGCACCAGTGCAGAGCCTGGTGTCCGGACTCCATGGCTCTGACCCCTTCTCTCCCAACCTCCCCTTGTGACAGCTGGCAGGAGCCCCTCCCTAATCTTCACCAACCGGCACGAGGTGCGGAGGATCGACCTGGTGAAGCGGGACTACTCGCGGCTCATCCCCATGCTCAAGAATGTCGTAGCGCTGGACGTCGAGGTTGCCACAAATCGCATTTACTGGTGTGACCTCTCCTACCGCAAGATCTACAGGTGAGTGCGAACACCTTTTCGGGGCAAGGCTGATGGAGGAGAGAAGAAGCTCCCTGCATCGTCTCCAGCTCTAGGATTCCCCATGACACAGTGGGGGCATAGGAAGTGATGCAGGATCACGGTGGGCAAAAACTGACCGGGTTTCATCCCTAAGCCACCTGCAACTTTCTGATTTAAACAGCATGAGCTCCTGTAGGAAGAGCAGCTTTGGAACCCACGTACTTGGGTTTTGTCTGACCCCTTGTGGTCTTAGAGGGAAGTGCAGAATACAGGAGATGGTCAGAGGAGAAAGGAAGAAGGCCTGGGCTTTCATGAGGACTTTAAAAAACGGGCAGCTCATGCATCTATTTATGTGTTGGATCCTGTATAATGAAGCAGAGCTCTTCCATGCCTGGAGGATCCTCCTCATAACAGAGTGACTTGCACTGTGACAGCTGTGAAGGGGACAGGGGAAGCCTCTGAGCCAACCAGGCTAGGGATGGGGGACAGTCTCCTGGAAAGTACTACCCAATCTAGACTTAGGAAGGCCGTCTCTTAGATCTCCTCCCATGATCAAGGAGATCCCCGCCTGTTTTCCTCACTTATCACAAGCCTGCCTCCCTGCATGTTGGGCCCCTTTTTGCAATCATGTCCTCTATCTGTCTGAGATATACCTTGCAGGAATGCTGATGACCAGGCACTGGCTGATGGAAAGAATGATTGTATGAATGCAGGGGTTACTGATGGATGGAAGTGAATGAACTGAGTGCTGCTCCCTGACGACTCCCACACACAGGCACACACAGCCCACATTCACACACCCAGAAACAAGCCAGGTCAGTCCCTATGTACAACCGCTGCCACTGAAAGAAGCAGGATTTGATGACAGATTGGATGTGCAGCAGGTAGAAGGAAGAAGAATCAGTATTAATTTTCTAGTTCTTCAGCTGGAAGGTCCAGGGTCTGTGGAGCTGTTTTGAGTTGTCTTAGCAATCTAGGGTTGTTGTAACAGAAATAACCATAAGGGGATGGCTTTAACAAACAGAAATTTATTTTCTCACTGTTTAAGAGGCTAGAAGTGTGAATTCAGAGCACTCGCCGTAAGGAAAGCTTTCTTTAGAGAAAGGCCAGCTCCAGGGAAAGGTCCTTGTTCTTTGGTTCTTTGCTGATCTCATGTGGTGCAGCTTCTCTTCCCCCCTCTCTGCAATCTGGCTTGCTTGTTTAATCTCTTTTATATCTATACTGTTGCTCTACTGGCCTAGTGATAAGAAGCTGCACTGCTGTCCCAAAGATACGCGGTTCGAATCCACCAGCTTCTCTGCAGGAGAAAGATGGGAGTCCCCTGTGCGATTGAGTAGGGTCAGCTATGGGTCGGTTCTGACTTGATGCTACACAACAACATATCTATACTAATCCTGCCTCATTAACATGACAATGTCAACACGTTCCCCAATGGGATTAAAACCTCAGGCACAGAGGTTAGGATTTACAACATATTTTGAGGGCAAGCAGTGGAGGAGGCACCTGGGCTTGGGTAGGGACTGGACAGTCAGTGCAGTTGTCCTGGGAGGAGGGTGAGCAAGTTTGGACATGTTGAATTTGAGGTATTTTGTGGGACAGCTGGGGTGGGTGGGGGAGCTGGTTGGCTTTTAAGTCTGGATTGCAGATCTGTGAGTCAAAGAGTGGTTGCTGACAGTAGATGCTACAGAACTAGTCATCCCGCGAGAGAAGATGTGGGGAAGGAGAGAGCCTTGGGGGAAACAGTATTCAGTAAGACAAAGTCCTGCTAATGTTGCCTAAGTTTATGTTCATTGTCTGCTCTCCATTCTCGATGGTCCAACCCCTCTTCAGACCTTGTTCTCTCTCCCCTGGCTCCTGTGACAGCCTCTTAACCTACTCCCTTTACTTTTCCCCTTCCAGCCGGTCTCAGATTCATACCTCATATTTCAGTGTCCTCTGATGTGTTTTAAACTATACAGTTAATACCACCCCTCTCCCCTCCGCCCCTTACAGAGTACCAACCTAAACCCTTATTACAGCACACAAGGCCCTCAGGATGTGGCCCCTGCCCCACACTTATTTCCAGCCTCTTATCTTGCCCAGATCCTCCCATATCCCCAGACCTCCCCCTCCATCTGCTTTCACCAAGAGCACACTACTACAAACACTGTCACCTCTGGGCATCCGCACACACTATTCCAGAGACGTGCAGTTTGAATCCGCCAACTGCTCTGCTGGAGGAAGATGTGCGGTCTCTTTCCACGCACTGGAAGGTCAGCTATGAGTCAGTTTAGACTTGACAGCAATGAGATGATTTTTTTTTCTCTTCCCTCCACCTGGACTATCTTTCTCTTCCTCTAAAATCCACTGTCCTGGCCCCGGGGGAGGAGTAGAGAAGGGTGCAGATGGCCATATGGGGGTCTGTGGTCTCTGAACACCTCCTCTGGGTTCTCACAGCGCCTACATGGACAAGGCCAGCGACCCAGCGGAGCAGGAGGTCCTCATCGACGAGCAGCTGCACTCTCCAGAGGGCCTGGCGGTGGACTGGGTCCACAAGCACATCTACTGGACCGACTCGGGCAACAAGACCATCTCAGTGGCCACGGTTGATGGCGGCCGCAGATGCACTCTCTTCAGCCGAGACCTGAGTGAACCCCGGGCCATCACTGTCGACCCCCTGCGAGGGTGAGTGTGCACGCCTCAGGCTTCCCGTTCTCCCACCCTGTACGCTCACCTCTCAGGTGTCTGCCACAAGACGAGACAAAACACAGGCCCTCGGGAAGAAAACCCACGCGGTCAGGGGCAGTCGCCAGGCTCCTTCCCAGACACTACCGCTCGCTCACTGTCAGGACTCCAGAAATTGCTCCTAAGGCTGCTGACGTGTGTGTGTGTGTGTGTGTGTGTGTGTGTCTTTACATTTTAAGGACAGAAAACTCCTTACCACCTGTTTCATTGGAGAGCAGCTATATCTATTTAGAAGGTTCTTATTTTCTCTCACCTCATGTTCTCAAATCTGCCTCCCAGTGACTTCCTCCACTGGCCTCTAGAGTTACGTGAAACATGCCCACTCCCTGCCCTGTAGAATAGCCAGCAAGATCTGAGGGCCAAGACCACTGGGTCTTCTGTGCTCCGGGCTTCCAACCTCCACCCTTCACAGTCTCTTGGCCCCTCACCACCCGGGCTGCCCTGCTCTGGACACACCATAGTCTTGAGAGTAGGGATCTAAGCAGAGCAGTACTGTTCCCCCTCGGTGGTGACATCCTGAGAAAGCATTGGTTCTCAGCACCACGTCAGAAGGAGCCCTTGTGGTGCAGTGGGTAAAGCACTGGGCTGCTGAGAGGGCAGTGGTTCAAACCAATCAGCCTCTATGGGAGAAATATGACACCATAGACTAACTCTACACTGTCCTATAGGGTCACTGAGTCTGGGTCAGGTCAACAGCAGTGGGTAGATATTACACTAAGTTTACCAGGATGATCAGCTTTTTTCTACTTCTTCCTTCTATCCTCACGTGTTAAACATGGATGCTCCCAGTGAAGGCACCTGGATGTGGGGTCAAACAAGAGCATGTGCTAGGCCTTGGGGAGTGGCCGAGCATGGCAGGTGGCCCAGCCCAGGCTGTGGAGCCCAGAAATTGAGTTGGAAATGTGGCTCCTCCACTCACTAGTGATGAGATCTTAGAGAAGTCAGCTCCTCTGAGCCAAGGGGTCCTAGTGGTGTAGAGTATAATGTATTGGGCTGCTAACCAAAGGGTCAGCAGTTCGAATCCACCACCTGCTCCATGGGAGAAAGATAGGCAGTCTCCTGACAGCCTCAGAAGCCCACTGGCAGGTTGTTGCATGCATTGGAATCTGCCTGTCAGCAATCTTAGTTTTAGATTTACTATGAGGTTAGATTAAAATTACCTCTTTATTCAATGAATGCTAAACAAGAGCCTACTATGTTCTTAGGTGACTTAGTGGTAAGGAGTTGTGCTGCCAACCCAAAGGCAGGCAGTTCAAATCCATGAGCTTCTCTGTGGGAGAAGGATGGGCAGTCTCCTCCCATACTAGTTACAACCTCTGAAAACCCCCAGGAGGGTCAACTATGAGTTGGTTCTGACTCGCTATCGCATAGCAACTTGTGCCACACTTGGGGCACTTGCTGAAGAAGACAAAGACTATGGTCTTCAATATGGATTAGATCTCAACATCAAGAAAACAAAAATCCTCACCACTGGACCAATAGGCAACATCATGGTAGATGGAGAAGAGATTGTCAACCATTTCATTGTAGTTAGATTCATAATTAACACTCATGGCAGCAGCAATCAAGAAATAAAGAAATTTTTTTTTAAAGAAATCAAAAGATGTGTTGCATTGGAGAAATCAGCTAACAAGGACTTCTCCAAAGTTCTAAAGAGTAAGGATATCAGCTTAATGACTAAGGTGTACCTAACCCAAGCCATGCTTTCTATGCATGTGCAGGTTGGACAATGAGTGAATAACGAAGACCAGAGAACTGATGCCTTTGAATTGTGGTGTTAGTGAGCTGAAGAATACAGACTATCCTATAGACTGACAAAAAAAATTTTATCAAATTTTTCAAATTTTATCAAATTTATCTTGGAGGATGTGAAACTAGGACACTTCTTAGAGACAAAGTAAAACTTTGTCTCATATATTTTGGGCATGTGTCAGGAGAGGTCAGTCCTTGGAAAAGGTGTCATAAAGCTTAATATGAGTTGTAGTGGACCCAGTGGCTCCTAACAAAAATAATGTAACACACAAGGGCTACATGCCAAGTATAAGACAGACTCAGAGCCAGGAAAGTGCAGGGTGATTTGTGAGATAATAATGGGAAATATATTAAAGGATTAGAGAAAGATTCTGTATTATTTAGACATTTAAATCAAGGACTAGCCGCTGGAAGATCTATGTGGCAAAGTCTCATGTCCTGGAGGAACTGAGAGAAGCCCAGTGAGGCAGGTACTGGGTTTGTTAAGCATGGGGACTGGCAGGAGAGGCTACTGGAGATGGAGGAACTGAGAGAAGCCCAGTGAGGCAGGTACTGGGTTTGTTAAGCATGGGGACTGGCAGGAGAGGCTACTGGAGAAATAGAGCACTATCCAATCATGTAGTCCTGGGTGCTATGGTAAGGATTTTAGACTTTATCTGAAGGGCGATAGGAGAAGTCATTATTGCCCATAGGTGTTTTCAATGCCTTTGAGTTGTGGTGCTGTAGAAGAATATTGAACTTTCCATGGACCACCGAGAGAACAAAAAGGTCTGTCTTGGAGAGGGTGAAACCAAGTTTCTCCTTGGGCATGAGGATTTTGAAGCTTTGTCTCACACCCTTTGGGGCACGTGGCCAGGAGGGACCAATCTTTAGAGAAGGACATCATACTCAGAAGGGTGGAGAGATAGCACAGGAGAGGAAGACCCTGGATAAGATAGGATGACTTAGTGACTGGCAGTGAGGTTAGGTGTGCAGGGATAGTGAGATTGGCTCAGGACAGGGCAGGGTTCAGAGCCACTGTTCATAGGGTTACTAGGAGTTGTAGTCAACTATAACATATATATATATATACATATATATATATACACACACACACATACATATATATAACATATAACTATAACACATAACATCAACAGGAGGTGTCACTATGGTTTTAAAACCTTGGTGAGTGACACAGTGGCATCAGTAGGGATGGAGAGGCCAGGCTCTGCCCCACCTTGGGCTCAGGACCCAGCCTTGCACCAGGTGGCCCTCCCCTCCCAGCCCCAGCCTCTTTGGCTCCATGCACCTGTCAGTCACTGTATGGACTGGCAGGCTGTGTTACCAATCACATAGAGAGGAGGATCTCTACCTTGGCCAGTGAGAGAGGAGAGGAGCTGCATGGTGAGTTACTGTATTGGCTGACAAAGTAGGAAGTGGTAGTAATAAGTCACTGCACTTTGGGACAGGTGACACTAACCTTAGTGTCATCACTGCTTTGACAGCCCATCCCCCGCAATACTGGCCGACCCACCAGCCTCTGCTACTCTTAGTCATTCTAGTGTCACTGCCCCCCAACAGTGCTGGGGTTACAGTCCACACTCCTCTCGTGATGCTGTGGGAGTGAGAGTTTCCCCCATTTTTCAAAGCTCTGTAGACTGACTGTATTGGAGGAGCAGTGATTTCTGCAATTGCCAGTTCATGAAGGGAGACCACCCACCATGCCTGCATGCAGCGAGCCTTCAGGAGACATTTGAAAGAAAAAGAAGAGAAGCTCTGGGCAGGATCTTCACTTGGACTACTGGGTGACCCTGGGTGGGTCATCCACTTTCTCCTCTATAAACTGGGAAGTAAGAGATTGAACAAGGGCCCTTCCTGCGTGACATTTTAGGGCTCTGGTGAGAGCTGCCAGAAGTGGGTGATTGGCTCTGGGTTGCTGTCTGAGACTGTTCAGCTGAGGCCGTGTCCAGTGAGGAGAAGGCCGAAAAACCTGTGACTACAAAGATTTGATGATTCCAAAGGTCGTCCCAGGCCTTGCCATTCCCCACAAAGGCTAGTCCTTGAGTCTTCAGTGGGCCATTGAGCTCTCGTGACCCAGACCACCCTCATCGTGTCCCCAGACAAGGGGTCACATTGGGTTCTTCTCTCTGTTAGGTTCATGTATTGGTCTGACTGGGGGTTCCAGGCCAAGATTGAGAAGTCTGGACTCAACGGTGCAGAGCGGCAAACACTGGTGTCAGACAACATTGAATGGCCCAATGGAATCACCCTGGGTGAGCCCTCCTGTTCTTGGGCCTGGAGCCTGTTCTAGCCCCTGATCCTAACCATCTGGGGCTCCCTGGGCCTGGTCTCTGGGTCTCCTCTTGGTGCCAGTAGCCCTGTTCCTCATAGCTGCCCTACGCTGACCTCACTTTGAAGCCTCACCTGGAAAGGTGGGCAGGGAGGAGGGCAGAGAATCTGAGACCTGGCTGGAGTCCTGGCTCATGGCCTGAACCCCACCCTCTCCTCCTTTCCAAGATTTGCTGAGCCAGCGCCTGTACTGGGTCGACTCCAAGCTGCACCAACTATCCAGCATCGATGTCAACGGAGGCAACAGGAAGATGCTCATTTCCTCCCCAGACTTCCTGAGCCACCCTTTTGGGATCGCTGTGTTTGAGGTGAGTCCCATGAGGGGAGGCATGGCCCTTCGAAGAAGACAAAGCCTAGAAAAGGCTTATTCAAGTCAAAGAAGGCCCTAACATGAGCCTGAGTAGAAACAAAGGAACAGAGAGGCCAACCGTACAAAATCTGCGGGCTGCCTCTGGGGGACTTTGTCAGCCATTGTCTGCCAGCTCCCTTCCCGAGACCCACCCAGAGCTTTCTCACAAGTGAGTCGCTAGGTCACATGTGTCCTCTGTGTTCCCTCAGCTCCCAACATCGTGCCCACATATGCAGAAGGTACCCAAGAGGGAGGGACGGAGAGAGGGAGACAGAGAAGAGGGAAAATGTGTCTCCTTAGAATCATTTAATATTGGAAATGGCCTAAGAAACACTGCCCCATTCAGTGTCTTTTCACTGAGCTTTGCAGGACCCACGGGGCACAGAAGTGAATCACACTCTATCCCAGTCCTCGAGCAGCTCCCAGGAAGCTGAAGGGTCAAGTCCTGTGTTGAGGCCCTAACAGCCTTTCCCCATGGGGAATGAGGATGCTAGGACCAACCATCCACTTCTTCCCTAAAACTAACAACGACCAAGGGTGGAAAGTGAGGGGACAGGAGCTGTGGTGGGCTTTGGCAGTGTTTGCTTGGAGCAGGGTCACTGAGCACTGTTCAGATAGTGTGGGCAGAGCCCCATCTCAAGTCCAGCCTCTGCTTCACAACACAGGTGTGTGTATGCGCTTGTACCAGTCGGCATGTATGTTTGTGTATGTGCATATGTATGTAAGTTTGTGTATGTGCATATGTGTCTGTATAAATGCATCGGTGTAATAGTGTGCACTCCTGTATGTATGTGCTGGTGCATGTGGGTGTGTGTATATATGTGGTCGTCAGACACGTGGGTGCTTTTTATGTGTATCGATGAGGATTGTGGTACATGTTTAGACCTGTGCATGAAGATGCATGGTTTAACCTGTAAAGGTGGAATTTTTTCCCCCAAAGGTGAACACCTTCACATGTGTGGACTAAAGTATGTACTCAGTTGTGTGTACACATCTTAGGCTGTAAGAGGCCCAGCAGGAACTGCCCTCAGTAACTCACATGGTCACTCCAGCCTTGGTCCCTGGCCCCCATAATGTAACAGCTGTAGAGACCCAGCCTTGGGTTTCTGCTGGGCTCCAGGAAGCGGGCCTCACTCACCATTCCTGAGCAGCTTGTGGCCTTCAAGCCAAAGCAGAGATTTGCAGAACGGCCCTGTGACAGATGGGAGCCAGGAGAGCATGCACCCCCAGGGTGAGGGCTGCATTCTAGGGTGATAGTTGGGGAAGAAGTTGAGGCAGTTTTTATAGTTTCATGCCCAAACCCCAGGATCCCTCACCCTGAGGTCCTGAGTTTAAGCTCTAGGCCTTCTATCCTCTGCATCTGTGCCCCCAGGACAGAGTGTTCTGGACAGACTTGGAGAATGAAGCTATTTTCAGTGCAAATCGGCTCAATGGCCTGGAAATCTCCATCCTGGCTGAGAACCTCAATAACCCACACGACATTGTCATCTTCCATGAGCTGAAGCAGCCACGAGGTGAGCCTTTCCTGGTCCTGCGTCCCTGGCTGTGTCCTCTCCACGAGCGCTCTGTGCTCACTTTCATGTCCTGTCTCAATAACCCCAGGAAGAATTAGTCATCTTTTTTGTTTGTACAGTACTTTGTCATCATCTATTTTATTTTTTCCAACTCTGAAATAAGGCTGAGTAAAAACAAAAATACAAATGCTATAGTTTTGTCAGTCTTGTGAAGTGTGGCTATCAGAGAGATATTAGAGGTGGCAGGACCAGACCCTGAACTCAGGTCTGATTCCTCCTGCCATTACACATGGCTTCTCAACTGCTATTAGAACCCATTCTGCAGTTGGCCAAGCTGAAGTATATGTCTTATTTTCAATAAATCACCCTGTTGGTTGGGAAGAGACTCTAGGAGTCCTATTACCAGATTGTCCACTCCTGTATTAGTAGTGCTGGCTTCCAAAGTTAAGCTAGGAGTCTAGGAGTGAATTCAGGGAGGAAGGTAAGGAAATGAAGCTGATTTCCTGATTCTAAATCTAGAATTTTAAGTGAACGATAAAGGGCCTTGCTCTGTGGAGCCAAAGAGGCCTGGATTGAAATCCTGACTCCAGCATTGCTAGAGGCATAGCTTTAACAAGTCTCTTCTCGCTGAGCTTAGGTGTTTTCCTCTGTTGCTGTAGAACAGAACGCTCATCTCTTGGAGTTATGAGTAGGGAGTAAATCACCAGGTACAGTGCTGATTGGAGCCCTATAAGAGTAGCAGGAAAAACTTTCTGAGCAATCCAAGTGGCAGGGGCCTCATCTGCTGGAGGAGGGACGACCTGGCGGGTCCTGTCTGTGCCCTACTCTTGCGAGCGCATGCTCTCTCTCCCTCTACATTAGCTGCAGACGCCTGCGAGCTGAGTGCCCAGCCCAATGGAGGCTGTGAGTACCTGTGCCTTCCTGCTCCTCAGACCTCCAGCCACTCTCCCAAGTACACGTGTGCCTGTCCTGACACCATGTGGCTGGGCCCAGACATGAAGAGGTGCTACCGAGGTAAGCACAGCTAGTGGGAAGGTAGGCCTGGGTGATGCTCAGCCCCTTCCTGCTGGACTGCTCCCTTGCTCCTGGGACACCATATGCTCCCACCTCTCCACTGTCTTCTCTCGGTACTCATTACCTTTGCAGGTTCTTCTCTCTCTCCCTCTCCGGATACTGGATTCCACCAGGCTCCTTCCAAAACTTCCTCTACGTACTTCTGAGAAAAGTACACAAACAACCTTTTTCATTCCATTTCAGGAAGTTTGTGCACATCCTTAACGACCACGGGTTAAGAACTTTGAGCTCCATGGCTCCCGGTACTAAGATTCACTAAGATGAATTCTAAGATGGCTCTGCTTTCCTGTTTTACCTGGAACTTAAGACATTACATAAACTCAGCTAACGCAACTCATTGCTATCGAGTTGGAACCAACTTGTACTGACCCTCCCGTTGGTTTTCAGGGGCTGTGAATTGTGTGGGAGATTGTCCGTCTTTCCCTGATTTGAGCTACCAGAGAGGTGCAGCTTGGGGTTGGCAGCACAACTCCCTACACACTATTGCACCAGAGCCCTTGTACGATGTGACTCAGACCAAAAGTTAGTAGATTCATGCTTTAACCCTTTAAATGCATATAATTTCCTAGATCTTGATATAGGATCAACGCTTTTTCTTTCAACATAACTCAGCTGCATCATTTGTGACTTTCAGTCTCAACTATTTAAATTGCAGTGAGAATTTAAACATAGTAATGTAACAGTTACGAGATGCCCTGGTGGAACTGTGGTTAAAGCACTTGACATTCAAAAGGTTGATACTTCAAACCCCACCAGGTCTTCAGGAGAAAGATATGACAGTCTACTTCCATAAAGATTTCAGCTTTGGAAATCCTATGGGGTAATACTTGTAAATATACTGTCCTAAAGGTATTCTTTACGTAGTCAATAAAGCACAAATAGACATTCTTCTGGTATTCCTTACTTTCATCCAGGATTCATATGATTTCAATAACCTGTGTTATGCAGATGGCACACCTTACTTGCTGAAAGGGAGGAGAACTTGAAGCACTTATTGCAGAAGTTCAAGAAATGCAGCCTTCAAGTATGGATTCTGTTTCAATATCAACAAAACAAGAGTTCTTACCACTGGACCAATAGGCAGTATCATGATGGATGGAGAGGAGACTGAGACGGTCAACAGCTTCATTGCCTGGATCTCAATTAACACTCTTTGTACAAGCAGTCAGGAAATAAGGAGATGCATTGCACTGGGAAAGTCTACAGTTAGGGACCTTACCAAATTATTGAGGAGTAGTCATGTCAGTTTGAGGACGAAGGTGTGTCTGATTCAGGCCATAGTCTCTGATTACTAGCTGTGTATCTGAAACCTGGACAATGAATAAGGGTGACAGAAAAAAGAATTGATGCCTTTGAACTGTGGTGTTGGAGAAGAGCACTGAACATTCCATGGATTGCCAAGGGAACGAACAGATATGTCTTAGAAATAGTGCAGTTGGAGTGCTCTTTGGAGGCAAGAATGATGAGGCTTTGCCTCACATCTTTTAGACATGTTATTAGGAGGTGCTATTCCTTGGAGAAGGACATGATTGTGGGAAGGGTGGAGGGTCGATGGAGAAGAGGAAGAGTCTCAACCAGGTGTATTGACATGGTGACTGCTGCAGTTGGCTCTTGTGTGTCAGGAAGTGTGAGGATGGTGCAGGACAGGACTGGGTGCAGATCTTTTGTTCATAGGGTTGCTGTGAATCATGCTTGACTCAACGGCACCTAACAATAACAACAATAAAAAAGGACTCTGTCCCATAGGGAGTTCTGGTGGTAGAGTCTGAAGGGAGCTGTGCTGCTGAGACAAAGGTGACACTTCTGTCAGTTTGAATCCACTAGCCTCTTCACAGGAGAAAGAAAAAATACTATTAGTAAGAATCTATTTGATGACTAGGTTTGGTTTTGATTTTTCAGTGTAGCAATGAGAGCAAAATCCTCCTAAGTTTGTATGAAACTCATACAAACGCAAAACTAATTTTACAGCATTGTTTCAATAACTCACCTTTATCAACTCAAACTGAAGCATAAATATAGACAAAATGCTTGAGATTCAGCTCATTGCCTATTAGGGTGCTAAGTAAGTCTCCACACAGTGACTTTTGAACTAAGCTTTGAAGAATGAATTCATGAGTATTATTCACACAGGCAAGTAACTTGGGCACTAAACCAACAAAATTCTCTCCTGTTCTTTCCCCTTCAGCACCTCCATCTACCTCAACTACAACGTTAGCCTACACCGTGACAAGGATGGGAGCTGCCACCACAAGAGTCGCTGAGACCACCACCTACAGCCCTGCCGATTGGAACCACAGCATGGAGACGCCAAGCCTGGTCTCAGGGGTCCCGAGCTCCCTCAGTGTGCCCAGGGCTCCCAGCATCAGCCCCTCCACTGCAAGCCCTGCGACCAGCAACCACTCGCAGCACTGTAAGGAGAGGAGCCTTCTTCCTCCCTGGCCTGAGGGGCGGTCTCGGGGAGCTGGAATAGGGGAATCTGTGGGAAGAGGTTGAGCCAGAGCCAAAGGAATACTGACCCTCTCAGAGGAGGAAGCAGGGTGCCGCTGTGATTTCAGAAGTCTGAGGTGCACCTCACATACAGAGGAGCTGCTTCTCTTCTCTTAATCCCATTTCTTCACCTACAATATTGAAGGAATAATACGGTTTAGTAATAATAATAACCACTACCTGCACCATCAGATTGTCCTTAGAGGCAGAAGCGACAGGAAACAAGAGTGCACCTGCCCACAGCCTCTGCTGACTGAACTGAGGTTCATCGCTCATGGCCTCTGCTGATTGAATGGGGGTGCATCTGCACATAATCTCTACTGTCTGTTTCACACGTTGTGTGATGTGTGTGAGGGAGTGCCCCCAGGTTTGGAAACTTTAGAAGCTCAGGGTAGACTCCTGAGATAGTAATATGTACAACAGTGCTCTGCTCATTCCTTTTTCCAAGCCCTTGGATGAAAATAATTAAGTCCAGCACTTACTAAATCATTGGGAGCAGTAATTGTCACTGCTAGAAATGTTCTGTCTCATTAACCAGCAAATGCCTTTGTAATTGAGTTACGTGCCAGGAGAAGTTAATTTAAAAGGATAAACTATCTTTTAAAGTTTCCTTCACACATGGATGGCCCACAAATCAAGTGGTGTGGTTGTTGTTGCTGCTGAAGTTGTTAGGTGGTGTCGAGTCATCTATGACTCATAGCATCCCTGTGAACAACGGATCTGCACCCTGCCCTGGTCTGTGCCATTTACATGATCTCCAGTACACTATAGGCACTGTGTCAGTCTGTCTTGTTGAGGGTCTTCCTCCTTCTTCTGGCCCTTCACCTATCAGTGCATTTTGACAGCAAAAGTTGGAATTCTTGGAGTTGAGCACTTGCCTTCAAGTTTGGACAGGCAAGTGGAACATACCTGAGTTTCAGTCACTCTGAAACCTCTGGGCCAGAGCCCTTGACAGGGAGTCTCCCCCCGGCTTCCACAGGATCCACATAAAGAAATAAAAACTACATGCATACACATATGTTTACATTTACGGATATGCTTATAAGAGGAGCCCTGATAGCATAGATAGTTGCACTGCTACCCAAACGCTGTACCTCTCTAATGGTTAGAATCCCCAGCAGCTCCAAAGGGAGAAAATTAAGCAGTCTCTTCCTGTACACTCTACAGCCTCAGAAACCCACTGGAGGGTCAGCTGAGTTGGTTCTGACTCAATGGTAATGAGATTATATATATAGTTATATATATATAAACTATATATAGTTTTATATATATAGTTTATATATAAAACTATCTATATAACTATCTATCTATCTATCTATATATTTGTTGTTACATGCCGTCAAGTTGAGATAGAGAGAGCGAAGTATCAGAACTGGGAGGATTTGAACTCAAGATGTCTGTGTCCTTGATCACACTACACTATACTGCTTCCCATGTATTTCTTTTTTTTTCCATCCCATGTAATTATTTCTTTTTTTAATTATTAAATTTTAATGAACATTTACAGAGACTTTGGGTTTTCATTCATTCATTGTTGCACTGTTTTCTCTACCCTCCTCCCCAGTTCATTCTTCTTTTTTTTCCCCCCTTGAAAGTCTGTTTTAATTGTCCAATTGCCACAGTGCTGGTCAAAGCCAGTTCTGATTAATCTCCTTTGTCAGTGTGTCCTTTGCCATTCACTATCACGCCTCCCTGAGAGAGACTTCACCCGGATTCATAAGGAAAAGGGGACGGCATATTCTCTTAGCTACTTCCTGCTGAAAAGGGACGCTGTAGGTTTCAGGGTGAAGATCTTCTCTC